GTAGAAAATCAGGTATGGGATCTGGTGCCATATGAAGTAAACATCCCCTGCCATCCAGTCACAATCGCCATGTGGTAAAATTAAAAAAAGATTATGCTAGTGGACTTTGCATATATAAATTGATATTTTTTCATAAAATTATAAATATATATTCAACTCAATATTTTAATGATTTGACAGAACTGCACATTAAATTAAATATGAAGACAAAGAACAGAAATCAACTCAAAAGTCCATTGGAACTATATTAATTGAGGACAGAGTATAAGACGGAGTTCAAAAGTTTAGTGCTTATGGCCTCAGGTCAGATCCCACCGCTGATATTGTGGAGGTCATTGAATGCTCTATTCCAAATTTGTATTGTTTAAAGGACTTTTGAGTTTGAAAACTGTTCATTATCCCCATATAATTATATATCATTATTAAGTAAGATATATTTCATTTTGTAAAACATATGGAGATAACAAACAATAATCAAACCAAAAGTCCATAAAACAATACAAAATAGGAGCAGAGCAAACACTGACCTCCAAAACATCAGAGTATGATCAGGTACCATGGATGAGTGAGCATCCCCTGCCGACCGGTCACAACCGCCGTGCGCTCCTTGTCATAATTGGGAAATAACGGAAAAATTCGTCGTCAACTCAGTGTATGAATAATGTAAAAACATTAAACATGAAAAACGTCAGTCAGCATTTGACTCAATAATAAATTGTATTTGCTGACAAGGTCATTGTATCGACCATAGAACTTAAGAAATGGCGACTTTAAACGAGCTGCTACATGTAGATTCTTATTCCATTAACTTGTTGGTCAATAATTTATCTCGTTTAAGAAATTGTTCATACGTAGAGCATGCTCTTGCGTATCGAATCAACTGAGATATATGAACTCCTTTTGCAGGTGATGAAGGTAGGCGATGAAGGTATATTGCTGCATAAGTAAGGGAAGTTGACGATAGAACAGTTAAAGTCATCATAAAGCTTGGTTGTAAGAGTGTCACTAACGTTTTTTTCAAGTAAAATATCAAAATATGAAACAGATGTGTCAGACTTTTTGTATCTTTTATTTCAAGCTCACCAGGATATATATCGTATTGACATAAGAATGGTAATTACCATAATTGTTAATTGACAATGTGTCGTATATATACCTAAATGTCGAGTTGAAGGTCACAGCAAGTGTTTTCTTCTTTTCACGCATATGATTTTGTCCCAGTTTCAATACAAGGCAAACTCAGTGATGGACCCTTTACGTTTGCCTAATTTTATAAAACAATCTTAAGTAACCAAGATTTTTACATTTTTGGAAGGTTAACGTTATAATTGCAATTTAATCAATCATTTAAAAAAGAGTTATTTTTACAATTCTTGAGACTAACTTAAAGCAATTATTATTCAATAATTTCTTTGCACAATGACCAATCACATATTTTTTCACCTACAACTTCACACCATTTCAAAGATGAAAAGTAAACCTTGCTGTCTGAATACATAGCCCTTTTGCCCTGTGTACGCTTTAAAGGTGTATATAGAAGAAAACATTGGAATGTTATACTTAGAAAATAGGGAACTTTCATAATAAATATGCTTTTAAAAAGATGTTTGAAAAATGGCTGTGATTAGGAATTTGTCCTTCTTTCAGATATCAATATGCTGCAATATAAAACACCATTTTGTGGACCTTGATTATGCGGGTAATTTGATGAATATACATGTATGAATAAAAATGAAATGAATGATTTTTAAATTCCATTGATTTATACTTTTATTTTTTTTGCTTCATTGAATGTTTTGAATTTTGCTGATTTTTTAAACAGTGGCCTATAATTTAGAGTTTGTAATTTACACGAAGGAAGAGGGTTCAATAGGTCTTTAGAACTTGTGCCCAATCCCTTTTAAAAAGGATTTGCAATAAAATATTTTCAAACCAAAATAAAAGGTTGCAAATAATAACTTTAAAGCTATTGAATAGGTTCTGAATAATATTGCTTGAAATCTTCAGAACAGATTTAACTATTAGGATACCCTTCTCGGACATGGATTTCAACTCTGATAGTTCGTGTTTAGCTAGCAGAATATCCAAGTAGTGTAAGACTGAAGTCATATCTGTCTGTGTATTAGAGGTTCTGTAAATACAAAGATAATAAAACATAAATAGAACTATTGTACAGAATAAGTGATAGTGCTTCTTCTTTCCCATTTTATTTTTGTATTATGTTTATAAAAATTAAAAAGTATTTCACAATTTGTTAATTACTTTTTGGTTATAACAAATGTTTTTTCAACACATAGATAAGTTATGACTGGATTCTCTTATTTGATACATATATTAAGGTGTAGGTATATAAAACAGGTTTAAATTGTTTGGCTGTTTAAATGGGTTATTTGCAATACTTTTTAATATCTGATTAAATAATTAAAATAAACATATTTACTTCAGAAATCTGCATATTTCATTTTTTTTTAAAAACGAGACAGCAATGAAATATGTGGAGATATTGAACAGTATACGAGCTCAAAAGACCATTTAACATTTCAAAATAGGAGCAGAACAAACACAGACCTCTAAGACTTCGGAGGTGTGATCAGGTGCCCGAATGTTAATTTTTTGTTAGCGTTTTAGTGCATCTGTTACCATAGAAGACATATGAATATATTGCATGTTTATTTACATAAGAGTAAATCTGTTACCGAAAACAAGCACAAGAGACGTTGCGTGTTCGTTTATATTTACAGTTATCCCTCGAGAGGAGAAAACAGATGGATAAGTTTTAAAATGATATAATTTGTCTAAAATATATAGACTATTAATGACTTTCAAGATTTAAACTCCAACCACATAAAGAAAAAAAATTTACTAATACACTAATTCCTGGTACCAAAATACTTATTATACTTTTTTCTAATGAACATTTGAGCCCTGTATCTTTAATTATCGCACCTTATTCTAATTACTTTTCCATTATTACTCCTTTGGAAAAAGTGAAAACGTGAAGCTGAGATCAAAAGTGACCAGGCCAGGTGCCATGGCGGAGTGAGCATCATCAAATAAAAAAATCCAGTCATAACTTTTCTCCTATATTTGAATATGAAATATTTTTTCATTAAATGCATCAATATAATACATCAAGCAAATTAAAAACGATCATTAATATATTTATACAGAATGAGAAATGGTTATAAAAAATGAAATAAAAAATAATAAGAGGAAAATAACAATCGTGCCAACGCCTGCCTTGACTCGGGACATCTGTTTTTATGGTCTCACCCGAAGAAAGTACTCACTTCAATTGACCAACCCATGGCAAAGGAACATCTAGCCATTTTATTCTATCGATTTAGGTCAGTCGCGGCCGAGATTCGAACTCATGACCTAACAATCAGGAGGCGAATGCCATGAATGGTGACATATGAATGGAAGTAATAAAAATTAATGAAAATCAAGAGATCTGTTTTTATGTTAATACTATTAGAATTAGGATCCACAGATTGACTTAACGCAAATGAAAGGGTTACCCTTTAAATCATTTCGTCATTGTATTTCAAAAACATGAAGTTGTCGTTTAAATTTGTGAAAAAATATATATTTGTGGAAAATTTCGATTTAGAGCTATATTAAATATTAGCGCATGCGGTATGATCAACATTTCTATATAAGTAGAATTGCTGGCTTATATTCAGAATGAAACCTTCACTGGTTTTATTCACTTCTTTAACCATGGTTGGAAACAAGTTTTTATTGATTTTCATGATCTGCGGTAAGGAATTAGTAAAAAAATTTTATGAACCCATCCACTCAGAAGTCATATATTTGGGAATCGTGTCCTGAAAGTAAACAAAATATAATGTGTGTATCTTTTTTACTCAGGCAATATTTTTTTTTCAAATCTTCAGTTCAAACGATTTTTTAATTATTAAATGAATCCATTTTTATACAGTTCTTATTATAGCATTGAATTCCTTCTGTTTGTACGTTGGAAATTTATAAGAATATCCAAGCATTGCCAAACTTAATTACTACTTGATGCCTTCCAGTATCCCTAAGGTTTATTTGGAAGGATACACTTTCAAAACTTATGAAGCATGTGGTCTTTTGTAACACTTATAAATGATGTAAGCTGAGACCTTCAGGGAATCTATGTTACGTAATGCCATTGTACATCTCCAATTCTTCTTTTTCATCCGACACATATTTTGGGTTTCCCATTGCAAAACATTGACAATGATATTCTTTCTATAATATTAAACAAGTATTCATCTCTTATCCGCAGCTCCTCCTCTACCACTGTATAGAATTTAATATTTTCAAAGATTATTTAATACATAATTCCATTGTGAACCTCCTATTTTACTTTTTGATCGATCTCCCGGAGCAAAACTTGGAATTTTTCATTATACTCATATGGTAGGCAGCGGTATCATTTAGTGAGCTCAGTGCTCACAGTACCTCTTTTTATTCCTCTTATTCCGTCAACAAATGTTTTGAAATTTTCAGGAAAAAATCTTTTTTACACCTACCTTTCGACACAATAATTTTATCCTAAGTCGGGAGAGGGCAAGCATTATTTTAATGAAACAATGTAGCCTGATATTTAAATTGTTACTTTAATACTATTCTGATCATTATAAAATATGTTCGAATCTCTGATTGACAATATGTATGGAGTTTATATGGAAAGTCTTCTAATAATAAAATTAAATCCCCATTTATACCAAATGTGTGCCCCGTTATTAACAGACCTTTTTGTATTCACATGAAGCAGAATTTATTCAACATTCTTTGCGTGAAAAAAGAGCACACTTGCTGTGGCCTTCAATTCGATATTAAGAAATATCACCTACGTATTGTCAATTAACAGTGGTTATTTCCACTCTCATGTCGACACGATATGTCCCGGTGAGTCTGAAATGAAAGACAGTCTGACACATCTGTTTTATATTTTGATATTTTACTGAAAAAAAGCAGTTGAAGCAATCTAACAACAAAGCTTTATGATAAACGAGATGACCTTAACTTTTAGATTGTGAACTTCCCTTACTTATGTAGCATTATACCTTTCTCAATTGGATACCAGCACAAGCTTGCTCTACATGTACGTCCATACAGTTTTCAAAACGAGGTAAGTTATTGACGAACAGGTTGAAGAACCAAAAATACCAGCTGTTCTTTTAAAGTCGACATTTCGTAAGTTCTATAGTCGATAGAATAACGTTGTCAGCAAATATAATCTATTATTAAGTCAAGTGTTGACTGGCGTTTTCTAGACTTATTGTAATGCTATTATTTACACAACTTGTCGATGGATTTTTCTCTTATTCCTCGATCATGACATGGAGCAGGGCGAACTTGACCTGTCGTCAGGGGAAGCATACCCCTCTCACTCCTCCATGGCACCTTTTCCCATCTCTGATGTTTTAGAGGTCCAAGTTTGCTCTGCTTCTATTTTGTAATGTATAGATGATAGCTGATTCTTTGTATTTCTGAAGGTTTTGGCTCCTCTGTAGGATGTCCCAATCACTGGATACGATATTCAAACAACTGTTATCTGTTCGTCACTCGTTATCCTTTGGAATGGATTGATGCAATGGTAACAAACATTCACAGTATTTCTCAAACTTGTTAAATCATTTATATTATTAAGGTGACAGTTTAGTTATTTTAAAAAATGTTGGAGAATTATAGGAGAACATTGATAATTTTACAAACTATAATTGCATGAACTTGGAAGTGTTTTGCATAAATTTCAAGGTCCTCCCTCTCGCCCAGCTGCATTAGATATTGTTAACTAAGAGAATTAAAAGATTTTTCATTGTAAACCTCCTTTGTTAAAAATATCAATTAAAGTAGATTTTACTGATTTTATTCTAGGTATTTTGCAAGGCGTACGGGGCAAAATTAGCAGAGGTAAAATCGTCATCAGTAAACAACTTTCTTAAGCATGAAGCTAGGCGCCTTACACATGGCTCAGGTTTGCAAGCTTTTTTATAATTATACAAAATATATCATTAGTAACTCGTGGGAAGCGAAATTACCCTAAAAAATCTTTGAATTTCCATTATTCTGTGTATATGTCCACTAGTCTTCTTTTAATCAATTGCATTTTACAGCAATTATTCTACTAAAAGTCTTAATAATCGGTTGAAATTATGGTAAGGCAGAACAATCAGGCTTTATTCAAATCAAGAATTGTAGAGTTGAGAGATATGCAAAATAATGTACGTACCGACAGGCATTGATTTATACATGTACATGTATTGAATAAATATACATGTAACTGTATTAAAATTTTGTATTTATTTGTTGATGTTGTTAACGTATCAGGTTGAAATTTTTTGCCCCCCTCGACAAAGTGGGGGATATCTATTTTGATCTGTCTGCCAGTCCGTTTGCCTAGCTGACGTCAGAATCTCGAATGTCTGGCATACCGTAAAGGCGCTTTTTTATCTACATGAGAAGGTAGGAAAAGCGCTGCCGAAGGCTTATCTGAAAAAAATATTTCAAAGAAAATTTGAATTTGAGAAGAGGTAGAGTTGGACTTGGGTACTGTTTATCAGCAATTCCATTTGTCATTTTATCATAGCTATCATGCTATCAAAGACATTCATTTAAGATTTTTATTTACATGATACAACTGGATTTTCGGTCTTTTATATAGCTCCCCATTTTATGAAATAAAACATGTTCTCTATAAAACTGAAATATGTTAATGCGGTCTTTACAAATATATTTTGAGTAACAGGGTTCTAACCGCTTATGAATAAAATGTACAAAAGTCTTCCCCTTGACTTGTTTCTGTGCGTATTTTTCATATTATTTCAACTTCTGCGCTCCAAAACTCACTACTATTTTTGACTCCATAAAATGGATATAAGTTACGAGGGTTGATCCAAAAGTAATGTCACATTGTCCATATCTTTTATGCTTGGCGTCATATTATCAAATACAATACACCAAAAGATGCACAGATATAAATCTAATTAACATTGAAATTTTAATTAAATAATGTTTATTTGAGTTTATTTTATAGATGTTTAAAACACAGAGCATAGGGGGTGTCGCCGCGTCACAACGAAACGTCACGTTTTAAAGTGTATATTTTCTGAGAATGAAAAAGACAAACACATTAAAAAGATTCTAAAAAAGCACCTAATCTCCCAATTTTTTTAAAGACACACTTCTCGTCATTTTCTAGTTTTTAATTGAAAATTAAATGACGGCATTGGTATTTGTAATCATAAAAATATTGTTTTACTCTGTTGAATGGAACACAGGGATTGTCGAAATTGGGAAAAAAAGGCTCGACGAGTTGTAATGTATTTTTGCTTCAAAATATGGGAATCATTACTAGTCAGACTTACAGAATAAAGAATGTAAATAAGAGCGACTTAATAGATGGTTTCAGCAATTTTGGGCGGGTGATTGGTCACTGAATGATTTGTAGAGGACAAGAAGACTGAAAGATAGGAGATCGGACGGACACGTTCAATGGTGTCTGACGTTGTCAAAAGTGACAGACGTATAGAGTGACTTGTGAATTTTTAAATTTGTCTTATGCTATTGTTCAACAAAATTTGACAGAGGGCTTAATAATGAAAAGAGTGAGTGTATAATAGTACCAAGAATTCTTAAAGAAAGTGAAATTGGTGAAAGTGTTTGCGAATTACAAATATTGTTTAATGAAACGAAGGGGAAACGCTTAAAAGTATGACGGTGTGTATCCGTCATATGGCGTTATATTTAGGTGCGGCGACTACCATAAACGTGCATTGATTAAAATCCGATATTTTAAAAATTATACATCATATACCTTTGAATTTTTCAGGTCTCATTTGAAATAATTAATGCTTCCATCATGTATAATTTTGTTGCTTTACGTCGATTTATAGCAATTTTATCAAAGTTGTGACGTTACTTTTGGATCAACCCTCGTACATAGACATGTACAATCTTATTTATTTTCCCTACGTTAAAATTTGCGAATATGTTGAGTTACAGTGGGGTTACTACTGTGTCGGTGCGTTTTTGATTTAAGAGAAAATATGGGGCACCCTAAACTTAACTTCTCTTGAGCCTTCATCTATCCCACAAGTTTGGTTAAAATACCTGACGAATTTATGCCATTAAACTTTGTAACACAATCCCCTTTTCTTCTTTGATTGTCAACTTTGTCTTTTTAACACAATATTTTAAGCGAGATTCGACAAAAAGCATGCTACATGTATGTTTGACACTCGCTTACACAATTTCCGAAGTAGAAGATCTCCGAAGTAAAAACTATATGATAGACTGTAGTCTATGTAAACATCCCCCAACTGGCACTTGCAACCGTTTGCTTGCATCTGAGTATTGAGCAAAAGTTGTCTTTACAATTTTAATTCCCTCAAATTGTGTCTTTTATTAATTTTTTTTTATTGTCAGTATTCTTAACCAATCTCTCACCAGAGGGTGTTTTACGCTCTGCTTCAACATAGGGAATTGCTGTGTAAAATTCCATTGCAAAAGTTCAAAAGCTTATCAAGATATGGCTCGGAGACGCAAGTAATGTAGACAGAGATGCAGACGGATAGACGGACGAACCGACCAAAATTAATATCCCCCACTTTGAGAATCGGGGGACAACAAATATACCTGTGTTTACGCCAGACTTTTGGTTTCCTACTTTTCTTCTGCTCAATGGCTATGAATGCCAAGTATAGGACTTTTTTTATTTGCAGCTCTCTGCCGGCAGTGAAATATTTTCGAAAGGAACGTTAAACAACAAACAACAAACAAAAACATTTCTTCTGTGTTGTTCTTTTTCTAACTTCGTCTTTGCGGGAGTCATATTCTTTTCCTTTTTCATTGTCCCCGATATTATGTTTCTTCTATCTTAACAAGAGCAAAAATTTTCAAATTACAGGAAAATTTTGGATTGGAGGCACTGATATCTTTACTGAAAGAGTCTGGAAATGGATGGGTAGTAACAGCAGGTTTTATTATTCTAACTGGGGGCCTGGAGAACCTAATTCTAGCCAAGAGCATTGAGTGCATTTGTTTGGGAGGTACAATTATGCTTGGAATGATTCGAGATGTCAATACAGATATCATTTTATTTGTCAAAAAACTGCATAATTAAGTGTCAGTATCAAAATATAAAGTGAATAAAAAGCTTATGAAACAGTATTTGTAATATTCAAAGAGCAATATACAACTGTTTATCTATAAAAAAGACCTAATGAACAAAAAAATTACACTACATTCATCCCTCTGTTCTGATCGTTTCTACCCTTATTATAATTTGACATTGTATTCTACAAAAAAATTATTACTGTGAACATCTTTAGATATTTTGTATAATTATCAAGTCTATTGTTTTTTCTCTATATATTTTGTGTTTGAATACGTTCATTAGATGGTAGATGGTAGAATACGTGCATTTTGTAGATGTTTTTGTTGCATGCAGATTTGAATATACATTTTAAGATTTTTTACACATATCACAAGATTTTTGACGACATAATCGGGCAAAATGTCACACATAATATAAAAGAAACTTTACTTATATGGTCTTCAAAATTTCATATCAAAATGTTGTAAATTGGTATCAATTTTGAGTATGAAGTCACGGAGCAGCAAAATCTTCGATGTCACGGGCAATGTAAAAAAATATGTGATTAAGCTTTCATTTTCTCAATATTTTCCCAAGAGTACCTGTACAGTTTGAGTTACCTTATCTAATCAACATCCAAACACCATTTCTTGTCAAGCTTAAAATCTATTAAACAAGTAAAAATATTCTTTTTTTGTTTTAAAACAAAACATTGCAGGTATTTATGAGATATAGTGTGACATTGGTCACTCTCAATCACGTTCTTTATAGTCCGGATAAAGTTTTCGTCGATAATCTTTTTCCCGTCCTCCCGTATAGCTTTTCACAGAGGTCTAATGGTCTAAAATTTCAATAAGCTATTTGTGACGAATGTCACGAATACCCTAGTTTACTATATGTTTTATTATGCATATTTTGGATCTATGTTGGCGATATCTCGAGCATTATACATAATTTAACAAAAGTGTGGTGCGCCGTCAATTCCGGAGACGTCATTTTCACAGTCGTTTTCACTGGAATCTGTTAGTACTTCAATTATCATGTCGGAAACCTAAATACATAATAATAGAGCAATTTAAAGATACATTTGAGAAAATTGACGAAAAATATCGCGAATTATAGAAAATTAATGAGTTAAATTTTGAATTCCGCATGCTTTTGCTTCAAATTTTTGTCGTTCTTCGTACCTCTCCATCCGCGATATCAACACACCGAAAAGTTTAGTAGAATTTTTCTAAAATACAAAAATCTTGCCCAAAATTTATTGGAATCTTTAAGATACATATTTCTGTGAAATTTCATAACTATATGACGTCTATAAGAGTAAATAATAGCACAGTCCGCGTAATTTTTGAACGGCCCTCGTAATTGGCTGAGACATCTAAGGCCTTGATAAAATTTATGGACCCGATAAAACCGGATCACATAAAGAACAAATTACAAATTAAAGATTTTGTAAAATAACAAAAAGATAAACACATTGACAACCACAAAAATACATACACGACAATTTTTAACATAAATTGCTTTATTTGAAAATAAACCTAAATTTATTCAAAGATCTATTAAACAGTAAACAAAGCGGTTTAGCAATAGTTAACTTTTCTGATTTTAACGTCTTGTGACTAATAGTATCCTGACCAATAGCTTTGTTTTAGGAGGTATTGTTCCAATATGAATTATTTCTTTCTCAGTAATACATTCAATGTACACTGCTAATTTCACTGTTACAAAGTTACGTAAGAATAATATAATCTTTATTGCTCAAGACATACATCTTATAGGATTAGGTAAATATAACAAACATAAAAATAGGTTGTGTGGCATGGCAATATAAAAATATGTCGTATATAATGTTAGATAGTAAATTACTTTAGTTATACACAGTTTCTACCTATACATTAGGCAGAAAATGATTTTGTGACACATTCACGAACATTAAAAGCATGGTTAACAGGTTAAGATAAGTATCTAAATTACACAAAGCAAAACGTAAAGATTGCCCAAACTTATGACGTCGTTTCAGAGAGCTGCGAAATGAGGTAATTTCTATGGTTAGAAATGCAAAAGAAAAGTATAAGCAAAAACTTACTTCTCAAATACTTAATAAAGATATACCACCAGGTAAATGGTGGCGAATTACAAAATCAATTGCTAAACTTTCAAACAAACATAAACCTATGCCTCCTATAAAATCAAATGGTCAGATTTTACTTCATCCATTAGAAAAGGCAGAACCACTAAATAATTTTTACTCAAATGTTTCTAGTATCGATGTAAGTAAAACCTTGCCTGAGCATGGTCCTGGTCCTCCCTTAGCAACCATTGAAAACAAAATTGTCACTGAACAAGATGTTGCTGATCAATTAAACAATTTAAATGTAAACAAACCTCCTGGCCCAGATGGTATAACACCAAATATTCTTAAACAATTATCCTCCTCCATTTGTAAACCACTAGTAAAACTTTTTAATAAGTCATTTTAACTAATACATTTACCAAAAACAGGCCAATTTCACTAACTAGTGCTGTTTGCAAAATTATGGAAAAAATTATTTTTAAATATGTGTACAATTTTATATTAGAAAACAATATTTTAACAAAACACCAGTCAGGATTCCAACCAAATGACTCAACTATCAACCAATTAGTGGAAATTTATAATACAATTATATCTAATTTAGACCAAGGCAAAGAAGTTAGATTCATTTTCTGTGATATTTCAAAGGCTTTTGATAGAGTTTGGCATAAAAGTATACTTTTGTATACTTTTCAAATTAGAATCTTATGGTATCCAAGGTACATTATTGAAATGAATTGAAAATTACTTAGATGACAGAGTTCAAAGAGTGGCTTTAAATGGGTTCTTTTCAAATTTTAAAGCTATATCTGCGGGTGTTCCTCAAGGGTCTGTTCTAGGTCCTTTTCCATTCCTCCTATATATTAAAGACATAACTGATAATTTAGTTAATAATACAAGGCTATTTGCAGATGATACATCACTGTTTATAGTGGTAGATAATTACATGTCAATGCAGCAGCAATATTACTTACATCGACTTAGATAAAATTAAAAAATGGACTTCAACATGGGCTGTACATTTTAATCCAACCGAAACCTGTAATGTAAATTTTACAAGAAGTTCAAATAACCATCCACCAATCCAATTTGGCTGTAATGGTAGTATTATTAGTGAATCCAGAACACACTGTCATCTTGGACTTCTTTTCCAAAGTGATGCCAAATGGTCATCTCATCTAAATAATTGATATGAAAAAGCTTGTTCTCGGCTAAATCTTCTAAGAATATTGAAACATCTGCTAGATAGAAGTGCATTGGTAAAAGTCTATTTTGCTTTTATTCGACCCATTCTAGAATATGGTGGCATTGTTTGGGATAATTGCTCACAAGAACTTTCAAATCTTCAAATCTTTTAGAAAATATTCAAGTGGAAGCTGCCCGAATAATAACAGGACTTAGGAAAAACTCATCTAGAAATGCTCTGTGTTTAGAATTAGGTTGGGAACCATTGATTAAGAGAAGGAAAAGACAAAAACTCTTGTTATTCTATAAAACTGTTTATGGTATAGCCCCTCTCTATTTACAAGAAATGGTCCTTCCTTTTGTGCCACCAAGTCATGGTTACAATCTTAGAAATCTTAATAATTTTAATTTTGTCATACCTCAAGCAAGGACAGTCTCATATTTTAACAGTTTTCTGCTTCTACTATTCAATTATGGAACAATTTACCACTAGAAACAAAATGTATTGAATCTTATTCAAGTTTTAAGAATGTCCTCAAGAAACCTTCTGTAGATAAAATAATTTAATTATGGCAGTCGCAAGGAAAACATTCTACATTGTCAACTAAGAAATGAATCAAGTAATTTAAATGCTCACCTACATCATCAGTATCTAAGTGAAGTAGCATCTTGTTCTAAGTGCGGATATCTGAACGAGGATAACTATCATTTTTTCTTAGGATGCCCTGCATATATTAATCAGAGAATGATACTTTTTGAAAGTCTTCAGAATGTAATAGAATTAGAAAGCATGTCTCCTGATCAAATTTCGAATACTTTGCTATTTGGTGATAGGCAATTACCTTATAAAATTAACTGTTCAATTTTTGAAGCAGTCCAACTGTACATCACGTCTTCCAAAAGATTTTGTGGTATTTCATAATTAAGTAAAAAATAAATCCTGATATTTCTTATAATTACATTTAATTTACGTCTCAGCATTTCCATGTTCCATGTATATGTTGTATTTTTACTTTGGATATTTGTCTTTGCATTTTATTGTTGTTTTTTGTTTTCTTTCTTTTTTATCTTATTTTTTCCTTACTCAGTGGTGTTGCTTGATTAAAATTTATTTGTCTTTTATAAATGTTACTCTTTCTTCAGTTTTGTATTTTCTTTGCATATTTATCCTTTGCACTTTATTTATTTACTTATTCTGTTTGCTGTTTGTTTGCACTTTTTTATTTCCTTATCATTATATTTCATAGCGAGTATACAAACTTAGTAAAAATTCTTCTGTATAATTTAATCTATTTTTTTTTTCGCTTTGTTTTCCCATGTAAAGTTAACAAAAGAAAATAATATGTAACTTAATAAGTTTTATTCCATCATTGTAAATCATTGTCAATATTCTTAACATTTGTAACCTTTACCTTGGAGAAGACTTATATAGACCATGCCTGATGTCCAATCCAATTATGTAATCTAACATAATAAAATATTGATTAAATTAAATTAAAAATTGATACACTGAGCAGCTGCATTAACTTGAAAATGTATCGACATCTAATATCACTAAATTGAGGACATCTTAATAAAAATTGAATGAAATTCATCCTCGATATCTATAGGTGGCTCAATTCACAATATCTTTTAATTACTGGTATGTTATTGTTACGACCCTATCCAATAGCTGAATAATGCAAGACATACGTATTTTACTTTTTAAAATTGCTTTTTATATTTGGTTGAAATAGCTTTTGTTAAGTAATATTGGAGAGAAAAATTAATTATCAATAATGTGC